GCCAGCATTGTAGACCACAATGTGATGGATTGTGTGCCGACTGCGTGCCACAAATGATCGAAACAACTTCAAAATGCAGTCCCACGTGGGTCGAACTCTACACATTCACAATCTGGTACACAACAAAATAATGATAAGGATGGTGGCGGATGGCGGCGTGGCAAAATTGCATGACTTGCCTCTAGACACCGATTGCGAAGGCGAAGGGCATACTTCGAGGCACGCTCGACACACGGTGAAGGAATGCACTCCTACACATCTGCGCCTCTTTGGGGTGCATTATACGCTTCCAAATCGCCATGCGCTGATTAATCGAAGAATCCCGACCATATGCCGGGGAGACGTAAGACTCGAGTTGGGGACTCGGGTTAACCTACGGGGCAATGAAGAAAATGTCGAGACCCAATCTGAAATTTGACGCGAACTCCCGCTGCGAACAACCCACGAAAACTGAACCGTCAAAATGCATGGCGGGCCCGTCAAAGAACGTCAGAAAACCGAAGTTCCAGCGAACTCGCGTCATAAATTCCCCCAATTGTACGCCGTTTCCTGTCGGGAGACATAACCGCCCCAAATGGTTATCATGCGACGGTGAGCCCGGGTCACGCGGAGCTCGTTGTGATGATCGCGTTATGGGGAATCAAAAAATGGCCTGACTCGTGGGCCATCGTTGTCCAGAAAATTGCTCCCCACTACAAAGAAGCCATTTCACCAGTCGCACACACACGCACACACAACGACACATACGGGGCTGTGGCACCTGTTTGCAACCCCTTGCGGTCGATGGCGCACACATTGTCTCTTCACTCTTCAAGCGACAGAGCGACGTCACCACAACGAAAACTGGAATGGCCTAACAACCGATGCAAATGTCGCACGGCGTAACGGGTTGGCGGCCACGCTGGGGCGAGCACACACACACACACACACACACACACACACGCACGCATGCGCTGAAGAGCGCCCGTGTGGCTCGCCTGACGGCGAGACGAGGTCCGAAGGCGGAGTGCTATTTATGAACCCTGTGGCGAACACTGCAACTTTGTGGGAAAGCTGAACGGGGGGAGAAACGCCGCCGGGCCATGTAAAAAGAGAAGAGGGCAAGGACGGGAAAGCGGAACGGAGAGGGGGGTCAAAAACAGCAGGCTGAACAACGGAAGATCCAAACAAGCAAGCGAACGGAAAGGAGGGCGACCAGACCAAGAGCAGCGGAGGAGGGGCGTCGCTGCCAACATCAGGATCACGTGTACCAAGACACGTAGGGCCGCTTGCGTGGCCCAGGTGTGGATCAGAAAGAAGGTCTTGCCAACAAGTGAATGTTTATATATTTCGGCGATAGCCCGGGTCATCTGGTAGGGGGGGAGGTGGCAGCCGATAACCTACCCTGTTCGCTTCGTGCAGCCCCACGTATGCCCGCGCGCACCAGTACTGCGTATCCCTTCGGACTTGCGCAACGCGCAAGCTCAGGTCATCCGGGGGTGAGGGGGGGGGAAGCGGGCGTCGATAGCCCAGGTTATTGCCGGACTGCGAGCGCAGCATGGACTGGCTATAGCCGGTCATCGTTGGGTTGGTGATCGCCGGACTGCGAGGCAGGCGGGCCCGAAAAACACTCACAAACAGACTGCTAGCGCAGGGAGTTGGGCGGGGTCTGGGGGGATCTGGGGCCAACCTCCTCATCCTCCTTCTCAGGCTGCTGTGTTTCACCTTCCTTCTCTTTGCGGGGCGTTCAATACCATCTGACGAGGCACAATTACATCAACGTGTGCCACAACGTGCTGCGTCAAGCCACGGTCAGCTTCTGACGTGTCTCCCCGCACACACCGCAAGGATGGGCGCCATAAGCTGACAGGAAGGACAATTATGATACGATGTGTTGGGTGTCGAATGATGCGTGTTCTGTTTTGTGTGATACACATGTGGAGGGGTCCGACGCCCATCCAAGCGTGCTGTTGTATCTTACACATGGGTTTTGTGCCTTACGCGTGGGGAGGGATCCAACGCCCATCCGCGCTCTGAAAGGAGCATACCTGTGATAAAGACGGCACATGCTACAGCTATCGGGCTCAACCTGCTGACTTTGTGGCTCTGGTACGGTCCTTATCATCCCCCTCCTCCATTCCTCCTCCTCCGCACTCACTACTATCATGTTTGGTCTGCGTCCCTCCTGCTCTGTTTGTTCCCTCGAAGACTGCCAGGAGGCTTCAAAGACAGGCCCCAAGAGAGGAGGTGAAAAGAACAGGAAAGGAGGAAGTCGACGACGACGTGGACGTTACGGCTTCCTGCGCGCTCTTCGACCAGTCGATTCCCAGAGCACTGGGCTGGCACGGTGGCGTGGCATGGACGTGCCGCAGGCAGCGGGATATCGAGACAAGCCGCACGACTGGCAAAGGAAGCCCGACGGTCAGCCAGGTGCGCCGCACTCGCGCCGTGCTCCCCCTCATGCGCTGAAAAAGATGCGCGTCTTGGTCCCGCGGTGTGACTCTGCCAACACCCTGGGTCGTCAGGCGAGCGACTGGTCACCCGCCACATTGCGCGTATTCGCGACAGTGTGCTCGTCTCCGAAAGCCCCAAGCTGCGGCGTGAAACCGTTGAAGATGTCTTCAAGATCTCGGCCAATGGCAGGAGGGCGGTCCATTCCAGGCTGCGTACTCTGCGCGTCCGCCTTGGCAGGACGGGGGGGTGATTCGGATGGAAGAGTAAAGACAAAAGCAAGTGGACGCTGCAAGCGAGGTACGAGAGAGTTTCGACAGCGATTTTGGAAGACACGCTCAAGTGCATGAGAACAGCCCGTCAACACAATACGATGAGGCAGCCCCATTCAAGATGTACCCTTGCCCAAAAAAGAGGGTCTGAAAACGAGAAATTCGCATTTGCGTCCATGGGGGCGCTTCCGCGCATGCTCCAACGTATTCCAGTATTCGGGATCCTTGCGCGCATGCCAAACGCAATACCTGGATCACTACGCAAGAACGGTGCCAAAATATGAAGCCTGTCACTCTTGCCGCAGTCAGTGCTACACCAGGGATCCGCCCTCCTCCCCATCTCATCCCGCTCAAGCAAAGGAGGACGAATTCCACCAGCCCTCTGGGTGTGAGTGGTTCGGGGAGTTCTCCCTCAAGCCCCTTCCGGCGCCAAGGCAGGCGAGCCCAAAATCGCATCGACAAGTCGGACGGCGATCGAACAAATCGAATCGGCGGAAATCGGCAGTCGAGTCGGGAGAAGTCGAGTCAGTGGAAATCTGCAGGCCTTAGAGTCGAAGTCTGCAGGCCTCGGAGAAGTCGAATCGAAATCGGCGATCGAGTCGAAGCCAATAAACCCCCATTGAGAAATCGGAAGCCACATCGGAATCCGAAGTCGACTGGAATCGGAATCGGAATACATCGACATCAAATCGAATCGAATCGAACCAGAGGAGTCGACGTGACCATTGCTTGCCTCCTACTGGCGTCAAAGAGATCGAAGTGATGCCTTCGGCAGCGGTCGGAGCGTCTACAATGGCCCCAGATGGCTCCGAGACGGCTCTGGAAAGGTCAGTACCCGCCGAAGATAGCGCAATACGGTCCCCGCCATCATTCTTTGTCCCTCCCCAAACTCAAGCAATCCTCGCAGCCACGCTTGGTAAATAAATCCTGTGGTGCGCTGTGATCGGGACACAGACCTGGCCCGCAATTCAAAGACCTGATCTGTCACGATGGTCCACGACAGAACAATCCTCCATCGTGAGTTCAGGATGGCCACAGAGCCTCACAATGATGCTCCACAGAAACCTAAATCCGTCGAGTTCGTCATTAGTGTCGCTTGCTCGCCTTCTCTCAGCCAATGACCTCCGGAAGCCCCAAATTGGCCTCCGAGCTCGCACAAAATAGCTCGAAGACGGGAGGCTCCGACAGGGCGGGGCTGATCGGACACCCTCCCTTTACAAGCCGAGACCTTGGAGAGCTCTAAGAAGACCTCCGACGACCGACGAGGCTCCCAGGAGAGCCTCCAGAAAGCCCCAAGAGAGTCGTCAAATTCGCCATTGGAGACCTTTGTGCTTCACTATACACGCGTATCAGAGTGAGGGGGCCGAGCGGCCATTTTTTGTCCCTGGGTGCGTGGCTGAAACGAAAAACTGTGGTGGGGATTATGCTTGTTGGGTTTTGTGTTGTTGCTGTTGTTGGCGTTGGTGTTGTTGTTGAACATTATTACTTCTAAAGAATAATTATTGTTGGGACCCCTGGTGCGCGGCCCCCTCGCCGCGCCTAGGCCGCAGCCATGTTTTCATCATTTTCGTGAGGAAGTCTCTGGCAAAACGGGTTGGTCCGGATCCGGTTGTTTTGTTACGGGCGGTTTTCCCTTGCAACAAATAAGGCAAAGTGGACATTTCTTGTTCTAACATAACCAAATTTCAAGAATCCCTTGCAAAAAATAAGGTAAAGTGGACATTCGCGCGCGCAAGACGAAATCCTTCCAAAACCTTAGTGTTCGTGGCGATTTTAACATAAAAACTTAAAAACATTTTATTTTTTTTTTTTTTTTTTTTAAAAAAAAAAAAAAAAAAAAAAAAAAAAAAAAAAAAAAAAAAAAAAAAAAAAAAAAAAAATGTTTTTTAAAAAAAAAAAAAAAAAAAAAAAAAAAATCCCGCGCGCTCTTGCGGATTTGTAGGAAACCCAACACTTTTTAAACATTTCTGTCAAACGGGCTTTTGCGAGCAACTTTTTCACGTGCTCGAACTTCTCCAACAACGGTGCGTTACCACCAAACACCAGTACAGGTGTCCAGTGTTGGAACAGGGGGAAAAGTCGTATACTAAGCTAGCGTCCAGAAAATGTTACCACAACAAGTCACTGTACCCATGCGCCAGTGTAGTAGCCACGGTCGTCCGCAGGCCACGAAGTGAAGTGTCCGAACGTCATAGGGCGGGAAGCTGGGTGTGGGTGGTGGCGAAGAGTCGTTTGGAAATGTGGTAGAGCTTGAACCGGCCCCCCCACGAAGTGGGGGTATTGGCGGGCGTCGTATGAAAACCCTGGCACTGGTGAGAACGGAGTGTCCCCACGTGCTAGTAATTGTTGTTGTTGGTGTTGTTGTTGTTGGTGGTGGTGTGTGTGTTGTTGTTGCTGCTGTTGTTGTTGGTGTTCTTGTTGTTGGTGTTGTTGGTGTTGTTGTTTTTGTTGAACTCTCACTTCTGAAGAATAATTATTGTTGATCCCCCCCGTCCGGTGCACATTGGTTTTTCGATTGAAGTGCCCTTCCCAGGGATCGCACACTGTTGTTTATCAGGGAAAGTCTTGAGGGTCACACTGTATCGTTGGCCCCCGGTTTACAACAACAACAACAACGGCTCCCGCTTCAGACTTCCTCACAATTTAGCAAGGACCCCCGCTCCCGCCCGAGACTTCCTCGCGTTTTATTCAGGAATCGCGCTCTCGCTTGGGACCTCCTTAGAATTATTCTCCCGGCGCTCTGGAATCGCGCTCTCGCTTGAGACTTGCTTGCAATCTACTGAAGAATAGCGCCGTTGCGCTGGAAGTTCGTGCAATTTGCTCAAGCGCCGCGCTCCCGACACCCAGGCACCCAGGAGTCGCGCTCACGCTTAGGACTCCCCCACAAATTACATAGGAATCGGGATCTCGCTTCCTTCGTGGCCCCGTTGCAGCCCTTCGTGGCCCCCTCGCGTTGTTTCGTGGCCCCGTTGCAGCCCTTCGTGGCCCCGTTGCAGCCCCTCGTGGCCTCCTCGCTGCCCTTCGTGGCCCCGTTGCAATCATTCGTGGCCCCCTCGCTTTGTTTCGTGGCACCGTTGCAGCCCTTCGTGGCCCCCCCGCTGCCCTTCGTGGCTCCGTCGCAACCCTTCGTGGCCCCGTTGCAGCCATTCGTGGCCCCCTCGCGTTGTTTCGTGGCTCCGTTGCAGCCTTTCGTGGCCCCCTCGCTGCCCTTCGTGGCCCCATATATGTATGCCCTTCGTAGCCCCTGCTCGTTCGCGCCCGTGGTGGCCCCGTATGCATATGTCCTGCGCGGCCCGGATGCTACCCTCAGTGGTCCCATCGTTGTCTTCATAACCCCACATTATGTGCCCTTCGTGGACCCGGCTCGTTCGCGCTCTTCGTGGCCCCATACGCATTCTCTTCGTGTCCCCGCTGTTGCCTTTCGTGGCCTACTTCGTGTCCTTGTGGCCCTGCGTTCGTTCTCTTTCGCTCTCGCTTTCGCTCGTCGCCGTCAGCGTCGACGTTGTCGTCGTCGCCGTCGTCGTCTACGTCGTCGTCGTCGTCGTCGTCAGCGTCGTCGTGGTCGGCCCCCAAAAAGGGTTCGATCGAAGACGAAGACGGCGGGCATCGCGGGTTTGGGAAATAGGCGTTATTGGACACTCGAGCAGATCAGGACGAACAGGCTGGAAATGACTGTTGTTGTTGTTGTTGAACTCTCACTGTTGAAGAATAATAATTATTGATCCCCACTTCCGGTGCGTGTTATATTGTGTTCAATTGAAGTGCCCCTCCCGGGCCTCGTACCCTATTCTCTATTATGGAAAATCTTGAGGCTCAAACTGCGCCCCTGGCCCCCGGTTTACAACAACAACGGCTCAAGCTTGATATTCCGCAAAATTTACTCTGGTCCCCCGCTCCCGCTTGAGACTTCCTCGCTATGTTCTGAAGAATCGCGCTCCCGCCTGAGACATCTTCGCAATTTACTCAGGCGCCGCGCTCTTGCCATTCGAGAATCGCGCGTTCGCTGGGGACTTCCTCAAATTTACTTAGGAATCGCCCTTTCGCTGCAACTTCCCTGGCTAATCACGCAGAAATCACGATCGATCCGCCCGATCGGCCCGCCCGTTAGGGTCTTGCCCTTCGTGCCCCATGCTCGCTCGCGCCCTTCTGGCCCAGTCGCTGCCCTTCGTGGCCCCGATGCTGCCCCCAGTGGCCCCTCGCTGCCTTTTGTGGCCCATAAAAATATATATATATATATATATATATATATATATACATAGCATAGCAAGTACGGACGCTCCTAGGCGGCCAAGCAGCGTCAGCTGCATTGATACATCTTTCCTGTGTGCGCGCTCGAGAGGCTTCCACAGGCCGCGAGTTCGGGGCACGGCGTCGCGCCCCGCTGAGACATCAGCCAGCACAGATCCCACAACAGGTAATGTACAAGAGTGGACCGAGAGAAAAGGGTTGGGATGGGAGGGTCGGAGCTTGAGCAGTACGGCCGCGAAGAACGCGGTGTGGCCGCCTGCCCGCTCCCCTCCTCGCTTCACGATGTTAAATCTACCAGCAAGTACGGGCGCTCCTGGGCGGCCAAGCAGCGCCAGCTGCATTGATACATCTTTCCTGTGCGCGCGCTCGAGAGGCTTCCACAGGCCGCGACTTCGGGGCACGGCGTCGCGCCCCGCTGAGACATCAGCCAGCGCAGATCCCGATTCCCAAACGGGCAGACTGGCCGCCAGGCCGGAGCCCCACGGGGCTTCCACTGAAAGAAGAAACTGAAAACCTACGGGCACAGAGTCCCTCCGAGGCGTAATCCATGCAACTGCTCAGAGGAATGGGCCAGGACGGCGGCGGCAGCACGAGCGAAGGGCGGGGGGTGCGCTGCAGCCAGGCTGGTCCATTTTCGACCGCCTGGCGCCGCCCCAGACAATTCGATGTGGTGCTCCCCAGTGCGAGAGCAGATCCCATTCTTTCCATTGCACCTACGAGCGATGGGGTTCAAAACAGGACACGTTCCACCCCTGAAACCTGGTGGCTTTCCGCCATCGGGCCCCGTGCTGGCAGAGGTGGCACACAACAAAATCAGACTCGGGCTGAGCTCCAAGACGGGCTAGCCTGGGCGCCGCCCAAATCAGGGAGGTCTGGGGATTCTCCAGCAGAACAGGCACTCCGAGATCATTGGCCAACGAAATGATGCGGCACGAAAAGCTGAGGGTCGCATTCCCCACTCGAACTCTAGCGGATTCACTCTCGTTGAGATCGGGCAATCCCATGGGCGCGGCTGCATCACGGAGGGGCTTGCGAAGGGCCCGTGTCCAAGTTGTACACGGGGTGCCCGGAAAATCCCCAAGATGAGACCGCACTGAATCCAGCCCGAGACGAGCCTTTCAAACGTTTTATCTAGATGATCTTCAAAGGGGCCATGCAGGAGGTCAAGGCTGAGGGCTCCAAAACCCTCGGCCCTGAGGGCCTTCGCGACCTTCCCTGCCCCACCGAAAAAATTCCAAGAACACTCCGTGCCTACGCTTGCGAGTGGCTTTCAGTTCTCGAGCGAGCAGCCGCTTCAAGTGACGCTGGACCTGCGCCGGCGAGGCTATGGCAGCGAGGCTCCGATCAGCGCCTGCGCGGGCGCGGGCAGCTGCTGCCACAGGCGCGGCCGCTGCGCGAGGGCGGGCCCCAGCTCGACAATCTCTAGCAGGTTGGCGTGCACGAAGCGGCCTAACACGAAGACCCAGTCGGGAACTTTGGTCATGGCATCCTGCAAATAGGCCTCCTTGGCATAACGCTTCATGCTGCCCGGCGAGGCCCGCCGGCCGTGCCTCTGGGTTTGCTCCAGCGTCCTCCGGCCCTCCAGCAGATCCCAGCTTGCCCCGCCGCGTCGCAGCGCGTAGAGGGTCGGGTCGAGGGCCTGGAGCTGCAGCAAGTCCGCGAACTCCCTGAAGCGGTCGCGCAGCGCAGGCAGCGTGAAATCCCAAAGGCTCTGGTCGAGGCCCACGGCGGCCTTGAGGCCGGCAAGCAGCGGCCACAATTGCCGGTCGAGATCTATCACCACACTCTCGTTGCACAGCCCGGTCTTGCCTGGGCGGCCGCCGCTGGTGGGGTGCAGGAGCAGCGCCCAGCTGGCCGCCGAGGCCGCTGCCTGCGCCGCTGGGCGCACCAGAGAGCCCCCTCGCAGCCCCTGCGCCTCGAACGGCCTCAGGTAGCAGCTGAACGAAAGCAGGACCCATATCGCCATGCGTCGGCGCCCATTGATGGCCAACAGCCCAGCCAGCGCTGCCGTCGCGAAGTATGGAAGAGGCACCCGAGTCATCGAGGGCACGCGACGCGCCCAGGCTATCGAGCTCCTTGTGGCGCGCGGCAGATGGGCCTTCCACGAGCCCTGGAGGCCTGGCAAGAAGTGCGCCAGGGACGCCAGCAACAGGGAGCCCTGGCTCGCGGGGGCCCCGCGCTCGAACTGGTAGTTCAAGAAGCGGGTGGCCACCAAGTCGAGCTGGTCGAAGTCCCTCCAGCCCAGGCGGCTCTCGGAGCAGAATGCCGCGAACTCCCTCAGGACCCTGCGGTGCTGCTCCTCCGTGCTGGCCCGCACCGCCAAGGTCTCCAGGGCGCTGAGCTGTCCCGTCGGCGGCCGCTCGGCCACCAGGCGACCCGCCAGGGCGGCGCGTCGGCCGCGGGCCTCCAAAGCAGCTGGCGGGGGCCTCCGCGCGGGCCGGCGCAGGACCAGCGGCCGCGCAGCTGCCGGGCGCCGCCGCGCCGCCATGCGCGGGAGGCTGTCCAGCGCGGGCGTCGGAGTCTGAAAACCAAGTGCGACGCCCTCGAGAAAGAGCGTCGGCAGGGTTGCGTTCTGACGGAATCCACCTGCAGTGCAATCTCGTTCCTGCAGCAAGTGACATCATTCAAATTTTGAGCAATGGAAGTTGTAGGTATGCTGAGGCTGCTCTCCCCTTCGCCACGGCCAGACAACGGCATATTATCGACCAGCGCCAGAACCCGTTTGCCGCGGCAGGCTGAGGACCTCAAGAGGTGCTTGTAGGCAACTACCAAGGCGTCGGCCTCCAACCCCAAGATGTTCTGGCCCGCCTGGACCTTCGCAGCGACTACACCCCTCCAAGACTTAGCATCCAAAAGACCTGCGGGCACCTCGTCGAACTCCTTGAGCTTTTTACAGAGATCCAAGATCAAGGGGCCCTCGCTGTGGAGCTCCATGTCGGGGTCCTCGGGGAGCTTGTCGGGGTCCAGCGTGCCAGGCGAAGCCGAGTCGAAATCCAACTGACTGCGATCAAGCACGACCTCCCTTCCCGCAGGCTCGCAAGGGCCAGCAGCAGATGACGATGCATGGGGTGAGCGGGAAGAATCAGAGGAGAGAAGAGCTCTATCTCTGGCACGCGCCCCACCCTCCACTCGGTACCGCCACCGCTCGCACAGACGCCCGCAGCGGGCGATGAGGTCGCCTGAGGCCTGCCGACGGCAAACGCCCAGCCCCCCCATCGCTGGCGTCACTGGCGACTAGCCGCGTCGCCCAGGGCGCGGCGAGGTCCGCCACGAGGAGCGGCAGCAGGCAGCGAGCGCGCCACAGCTCCGTCCGCACGGAGGGCCAGAGCGTCTGCACCTCCGCGCCGGACGCTATCATGAAGGCGTAGGTCGCGTTGAGGAGCCCCAGCGCCTCGCGCCTCATCATCGAGGCCCAGGCCAGGTGGCCCACCAGCACGCGCACGAGGTGCCCTGAAGCGCGACCGCGCCTGAGCAGCTCCCCAATGGCGAGCTTCAGCCTCCAGACAGAGCGCCCCTTGATGGCAAGCCAGCGGCCCTGCCTCAGCTCCATCCCCAAGAAGCTGCAGGTGTCCGAAGCCCGCTCAGGCTCGTGGACTTTCACGCCAGCGCCCTCCAGCTCCGCGGTGATGCGATCCAGAGCGCGATCGGCCTCCGACTCGTCGCCGCTGACGGCCAGGTAGTTGCCCACGTATCCTGCGACGGCGGCCTGGCCCTACGGCCCCACGACGACGCCGGGGAGGCCGTCCTCGATGATGAGGCGGCCCGGCACGCCAGCCCGCGAGACCGCGGTCCGCAGAGCCAGCTGGCAGAGGTGCAGCGCCCAGGAGAAGCCCATCGGCAGCACGACCAAGCAAGCCTGCACCCTGGTGGCATCGGGGAGTCCTGCGATGCCGCGTGCCTCCAAACGCCGCCTGTCGATCGGCGGGAGCCTGAAGTAGCGGCACAAGCCCTCGGGCACCAGCAGCCAGTAGAAGGCGTTGTCGATGTCTCCAGCCGCGACGACCACCTTGCCTCCAGGCGCCTCCAGATTCGAGAAGGCGGCCGCGCTCGGTGGTGGCTGGGGGGTCCGTGAAGTACGCATTCGCAGTACGAGTATCAAAAATGAGCCTCAGAAGGTTGCTCTTCTTTGCCACGCAGAAGACTCAAATCGGCTTGATGCGAGGGGCCTCCGCCTGGAAGCAAATCATCTTCCGCTTCAACATCTCAGCAAGGAAGTCGGCGAACGTCGCCGGAGAGAAGGCAAGGTGGGGGTCGACATACGGCCCGCGAGGGCAAACCTGCTGCAGAAGGGCGTCAGCCTCCTCGCGACCACGCAGCATGCTCGAGCTCCATGCCCTAAGCCACTGAGCGTCCGGGCCAGCAACGACCGTTGTGAGCGGCACGGGGTCGTCGCCGACGTCGGGCCACGAGATCAGGCCCCGCGAGCAGGGTCGGCGAGGCCCCCCCGTTGCGCACAGCGGGGAGCCAGAGAGAAGATCCGAAAGAGCTCCTTCGGGAAAACCCTCGCCCTCAGCCAGCGGCTCGAGGCAGGCGAGGGTGGACTGGATGCGCGCGAGAGACGCCCGCTGGCCTTCAGAAACACCGAGGGCTGACGGCTGGGCCTCAGGGGCACACACAACGTTCATGACGTCGATGGCGTCGTTGGCCCAGTCTTGCCAAGGAGCATCATCAGAAGACTGACGGTGACCGCGGCGGCTGCGCCCAAAACTGGAGCCCTCGCGCGGGCGGCCCAAGAACGGCATGGGGAGAAGTCCCGCTGGCGCCCTCCTGGCTCCGCACGGCGCGAAGGCTGAGGTGGCCCGTCAGCTGAGGCGTCAGGGCCCGATGGGCTGGTTGGCGGGAGCGGGCGCCCAACTCCGCTCCCCGCTCCGAGGCTACTTGTCATCCTTGCCAGAGCCCTTGTCGCCCTTGGTCCCCTTCTTGCTCTTGCGGGCCAAGTCGCGCTCCTCTCTGGCTTTGCGCTGCTCCTTCCTGTACGCATTCATCTTCGTGAGCTCGTCCTTGATGTGGTCCTGCAGCGTCGGCGCGACGCACGCGTTCCCGCGCAGCTGGTCCGTGCCGAGCAACACGCGTGCGTCGAGGCTGCCCGAATCAGCTGCCGGGGCGACGCGGCCCCTGTAGCGCTCCTCCTGGAGCTGCACGGCCCTGGCCAGCATCTCGCCCGAAGCGAGATTAGCCACATTCAGCTGGTCGTAGATCACCATGCGCTCGAGGGTCCTGCACGCCCGCTCGTGCTCGTCGACGCCGGGCTCGAGCCCCTGCGAGCGCGTCTCCGCGAGCCAGCGCGAGTGGCGGCCCGTTGGAGTGCCGCCGTGAGCCTCCATGAACTTGAGGACCCACAGCGCCGTCCGCGGACCCCTGACTGGCCAGTCGGGAAAAGCCCCCTCAGTCATGTTCATGACCGCGCTGCGGTAGTCCGCGCGTCGCTGCCCCTGCAGGTCGTGCGTGACGGGCTGGATGCGCGCATCAGCTGGCGCGGCCGCAGCCGCCGCGGCTCCAAGGCCTCCAGCTGCGGCAACTGGCCCTGCAGCTGTGGGCGCCGCTACCAGCGGCGGCGGGGGGCCTGCCAGCGCCGGGGCGCCTGCCACGGGGGCCGCTGGGCCGCCAGCGAGCGCAGCGGCCAAGCCAGCCACTCCAGCCGCCACGGCGGGCCCACCAATCCCTGCCGCGGGCGCCGCGGGGGGGCAGCAACCAGCATCCCAGCGGGCGGCCCCGCGCCACCAGCAGCGAGCGCCGCAGCCGCCGCGCCACCGGCAGGCGCGATGCCAGCGGCGCCAGGCCGAGGGCGAGCACCGCCTGCAGCGCCAACCAGGTTGGGCATCACCGCGTCCCCAGCGCCCAAGGCGACTCCCATCCTCGCAGCTCCCGCAGCTAGCACCTGCGCGACCCGCGCGGGCGCTGGGACGCCCCTGAAGCCGTGCACGTGCATCCCAGCTGCAGCTGGAGGGTACGCACCCATGCGTCCGCCTTCGCACGGCAGCCAGCGGCGCACATCAGCGGCGGCGAAGAGGTCCTCCTCGTAGCTGTCGTCATCCGGCGTGAGGGTACACGCCAGGCCCGATCCGTCGGGCGCGAGCACCACCAATCGCTCGTGCCACACGTTGGCGCACCCCACGTACTCGACCAGGATGAAATCCCCCTCCTGCAGACCCAGAGCCGCTATCGGATGCTGTGCAGCGGCCGCCGCCGCCATGCTAGTGGGTCAGCTGTGGCCTCGAGGCCCGCAGAGCCGCCACCTGAGCCGCCGCCAGCTGCGCCGCTGAAGCCGGAGCCTCGAAGGCCGCCGCGGGCGGCCGCGCGGGAACGCCCGCCGGCGCAGGGGCCCCTGGTGTCGCGGGTGCGCCCCGCCTGCCAAAGGCCCAGCCAGCGGCGCCCACCGCGGCAAGGCTGGCCAGCCACGCAAGGCTGACTCCCAGCAGCTCGGGCCGCTGGACCTCCGACACCGAGCCGCCTGGGCACGCCAGCCGCGGCTCGCAAGTGCAGGAGCAGGAAGGGCACGGAGGCGGCGCCGGGCACGCCGGGCACTGCGCACCCCAGGCGTCGCCCCAGGCCGCCGCGCCGGCGGCGAACCCCCGCGTCGCCTCGCGGAGGATGAGGCCCGCGGGGTCCATCCGCGGCCCAGCCCCCTCCGCTCGGAAGCCCCTGGGGCCTCGGAGCTTGAGCAGTACGGCCGCGAAGAACGCGGTGCGGCCGCCTGCCCGCTCCCCTCCTCGCTTCACGATGTTAAATCTACCATGTATGTATATACGCTCTTCGTGGCCCCCAATCGCTGGTGCCCTCAGGGGCCCCACCCATTGCTGCCCTTCGTCGCCCCGCTGCTGCCCTCAGTGGCCACTTCGCTGCCCTTTGTGGCCCACATAAACGCCCTTCGTGGCCCCAAGTCGCTCGTGCCCCATTGGCTCCATTGCTGCTATTCCTGGCCCCAGTGTAGCCCCGTGTGCCCCCCCCCCGTTGCCCTCAGTGGCCCCTTCGCTGCCCTTTGGGATGCGCCCGATACACGTGGCAGGTCAGGGAGATGTACCCCCCAGAGGGGGTACGCTCGAAGGCGAAGAGGGCGGGTATCGGGGGTTGGGGATATACGTGTTGAGGTACGCGCGAACAAGTAAGAGCGAACAGTCTTAAAATGATTGTTGTTTTTGTTCGTTGCAACCGGCGTCCTGGCCCCGGTTTGTTGTTGAGATCTTATTCTTCTTGGAAAATGAAGTTGGTAACTTTAAGGCATGAAAAGGATTTGGTGGAGCTTAGCCCCCCCCGGGGCCGGGAGGGGCGCATGCACACCGGGGCCTGGAAAGGCGTTGGCACACGGGGAGTGCGACCAACAACCCGACAGGATCCCGAGGGTTGTTGGGATTTTCGCCCCCAACCAAGCCACCGGGGCCGGGACGGTCGTTGGCACACGGGGAGTGCGACCACCAATCCAAGGGAATCGTAAAATGTTTTAAGGAATCGCAGGGTTCCCTTGGGAATCGCACGACTCCCTTAGGATTCCATAGGGAATCGTAAGGATTCTCAACAGATTCTTAAGGAGTCTTAAGGATCCCCGAAGGATTCTTCAGGAATCGCAAGGATTCCCGAAGGATTCTTAAGGAATCCTTAGGGGATCCGTAGGGAATCCTTAAAATTCCCTTAGGGAATCTTAAGGATTCCCTAAGGATTCCTGAAGGAATCCTAAGGATTCCCCAAGGATTCCTCTGGGAATCCTAAGGATTCCCGAAAGATTCCTAAGGATTCCCTGAGGATTCCCAAGGATTCTGAAGGACGCCCAAGGGATTCCTAGGAATTCCTGGGGGGGTCCGAGGGTTTCCCTCGGGATTCCGAGGGATTCCCGAGGGATGACGCACCTCGGTGTGCGTACAACCATCCCGGCCCCGGCCCGGGGCCGGGACGGTGGTTGCAACGTTGTTGTTGTTGATGCTGCTGTTGTTGTTTATGTTGTTGGTGTTGTTGTTGTTGGTGTTGTTGTTGTTGTTGGTGGTGGTGGTGTTGTTGTTGTTGTTGATGTTGTTGTTGCTGTTGTTGCTGTTGTTGTTGCTGTTGTTGTTGATGTTGTTGGTGGTGGTGTTGTTGTTTGTGTTGTTTGTGTTGTTGTTGCTGTTGCTGTTGCTGTTGTTGTTGTTGCTGTTGTTGCTGCTGCTGTTGATGTTGTTGTTGCTGTTGTTGTTGTTGTTGCTGTTGTTGCTGCTGTTGTTGTTGTTTGTTGTCGTCGTCCTCCAACGACCCACCCGCGACACACCCCGCGACCCACCCCGCGACCCCCCAACAACCTACCCCGCGACCCACCCGCGACCCAACCCGCGACCCACCCGCCACCCACCCCGTGACCCATCCGCGCCTCACCCGCGCCCCACCCGCGACCCACCCCGCAACCCACCCGCGACCCACTTGCGACCCGCCCGCGACCCAGCCCGGGACCCACCCGCGACCCACCCGTGACCGATCCACATTGGTTCAAAGAAAAGATCGGCGCCTGTGGCGGGCTCGTTGTATAATGTGTGAAAAGTTGCCGCCTGCGGCCGTCTTCTCCAGAACCTCGCAGATTGCCGACGTCCCCACCGCCCCCTCATTCTTTTCCGCATATGCGGGGTGCTACGCCTATTCATTCAGGGTTTCAAAGTTCCTGTTTACGGGCCGATCTCGGTTGGCGTCTGGACTCCTGAATTCACAATTCCAGGTCCAGAATTCTCGGCACTGAAAGGTTCCTGAGTGCTCGATTGACGTCGCCCGAATACCAGGTTCTCGCGACCACTGCCAGAATTCTGCAGTATGGAATAGACTGAGAAATGCATGTTAGATAGTAGAGGCACTAGTTGAGCACAAAAAGAGACAGAGGGATCTATATATAGAGAGAGAGAGAGAGTACACAGAGAGAGTAGATATGAAAAAGCAGGCAGAGCGGGCTGAGAGGGTAGAAAGAACAAGTACAGTAGAAAGAGAGAGAAAGAGAGGAGGAATGGAGAGAGATATACAAGAGGGAAGAGAGAGAGTGAAACAAAGAGCTGTAGACAGACTGTAACATACATACATGCGTGCATACATGCATACATGCAGACATACACACATCTACACATGTTGGCATTTCCTTATAGGGCGATCGAGCGAGAGAAGGTAGAGAACAACATAGAAGGCTGCATCATCAGAGTAACGGGAGAGAGCGGTCATTAACTGTCCATGAGCGCGTGGCTCAAGTGAGGTTATTATGTGCGGATTGCTGTTGTTGTTTGTTGTTGTTTGTTGTTTGTCGTCGTCCCTCCCGCGACCGGGCCTGCGACCCACCCGTGTCCCAACCGCGACCCTGCCCGCGACTCACCCGCGACACAACCGCGACCTACCCCGCGGCCCGTCCGCGACCCACCCGCAGCAATCCCACGACACACCCGCGACACACCAACCACCCACCCACGACCCCGCCGGCGACCCACCAACGACCCACCCGCGACCTACCCGCGACCCACCCGCGACCCGCCCCGCGACCCACCCCAATTGCTTTGACGAACAAATGTGCGCCTGCAGCGAGCTCGTTGTACACTTTGTGAAAATTGGACGCCTGCGACGGGCTGCTTCAGAGCCTCGCAGACTGCCGACGTCCCCGCCGTCCCCTCACTCTTATCCGCGACTGCGGGGTGCTACGCATATAGCGCAAGAGACAGTATCCGCCACTGTGCCTCTGGCCACGGAGTGGGCGTGTCCTCAGGTCCTTTGCCTAATCCCTGCAGCCTCAGCCCTCAGCCCTGAGGAGTCTCTCCGAGGGCCCAAACCCAAGAGGTCCCAAATCTGCCTGGGCTCCCGGCGTGCCCCCTGCGCTCCCCCGCGGCGTGTCTCATGACGTTTTGGGGCCCAAGAGGGCCCCAAAACGAGCCAAGAGGGCCCCAAGAGGCCCCCAAGACGGTCCAAGAGGGCCCCGAGCCGCCCAACGATCGGCCCAAAGCGCCCAAGATGGCCTCCAGACGGCCCACTGAGTGCCCCAAGAAGCCAACATCAGTGATGCTTCATAGGTTTTTGAAGGATTGTGGCGTTCTCGCCTCTTCGGCTTTCCAACGCTCCAAGACGGCCCAAGAGGCCACCGAAACCACCCCGATACGGCCAAAGATGCCGCCCGCTCTCCCGTTCTCCTGCCCTCCCGCTCCCCCGAGTGCCTCCGAGTGGAAATCAAGGACGCAAAGAAGCTAAGGTAGATCACAGTGGTGGGGCGACCACCTATATATATATATATGTATAGAGAGAGAGAGAGAGAGAGAGAGAGAGAAAAAAAAAAGACATAAAGAGAGAGAGAGAGAGCAAGAGAGAGGGATACATATTTCTATGTGTTTGCCTTATGTACAAGTACATGTAAAATATTGTGTTGGTAGATCGAGATAAACGACGACGCCATACTGACATGACAGATTGCACTCCAACATCATACATACCAGCAGAGCAGAATTTGATAGATAGAAAGATATGTAGCGAGCGAGAGAGAGAGAGAGAAAGAGCGGAAAAAAACTATAGAGAGAGCGGGCTTTTCAGAATACAGTGCAGAGCAAGTTGAGAGGCTAGTAAAAGAAAGCAGAGCAGAGAAAGACAGAGAGGGAGAGAGAAAGGGTATACATATGCATACGTACTGGGACGCAGACGTGCAGAGAGACAGAGATAGAGAGAGAGAGAGAGACATAGCAGGCGTGCTCTTGCGAAAACCTCTGGGAAACCACTGGCTGGGACTTCCCTGGTGCGCTGCATTTGAATATTTCACTTCATGGACACGTGTACGTCTACCATCACGCCAAGGCAACACTGATGACATTATCTGCGAGAGATTCACCGCAGGGCCTCCTGGCCTCCCAGACACCCTCCGCTCGGCAACCCCAAACGATCCCTGGTAAGTTGTGAGCGCTGTCGCAGACTATCTATGACATTCCCTTTGACAACTCGACGGGGACACTGGCTCTCCCCCCTAGACGAATCCCCTGAACGATCCATCTGGACATTGCTTACACTGCATCGTAAGCACGCTATCCGCACCCAAACCTTCGTGTCATCCTCGTTCCCGTGGATGGTGGCTCTTCTCGACCGCGTTGCCGCGTAGGTGATACTGCCAGTCCGCGCGAATGACGTGGCCTTGGCGTACAGCACGTTGCCAGGGAGGTCCTTGTTGGCCGGATGCCCCTGAAAAGGATCCACCTGGATGAGATCTCGCGCCGTCACTGCAATCAGATCAATTGCCACGTCTTCTCCAAGCACCCACCAGTCGGATAATAAAACATTCGCAGACTCCTCCTGGCCGATCTCGTCGAGCCCCTCCAGGACCTCAGCTAGACAATATGGTGCTCGGAGCGTCACACGCCCCACACACACACACACACACACACGAAACGTCAATGATAAATCACAGTGGGTGCAAAACGGCACTGCGAGAGCTGCTGAATCATAGAATCGGGACCGAAGACATCGACCACTTGCAAAACAACATTCAGGAACATTTCACCGCACAAATTTCACGATGTCCCGCAGAGCGCAGGACCACGGGACCATGCATGGGCACCAAGGAACGACTGCAACGCGGCGCTGATGCAAGGTCGCTCAGACCACCGTACCGTGGAGCTTGTTGACGCATACGGACCGACACAAGTCCCACCAGCCCGTTAGGGCGTGAATGGTTTAGCAGGTTTCCTCTTCCAACGTCCCTTCTCCTCCCTCAGGGAGGGGTTCACACCCCCTCCCCGAGGCGACGGGCAGCCAACCAGGACCATTGAGGGCCCCCCTCACACCATCCCTGTCAACAAAACAACGGAAATCCACTTTGAGGAAAAATCTTGGGTCATGTTGGGGGGGCCGCGAGCACATTGTATTGTGTGTTCCAACCAACCGGCTATTTAGTCCAAGTTTTGAGAAGACAGCGCCCCGCGTTCATCCCACCTCCTTCCTACCTCCCTCCGGTCATCATCATCAATCGCATCCTCATCATCCTCCTCATCACCAGCATCATCATCATCATCATCATCATCATCATCATCATCATCATCATCATCATCATCATCATCATCATCATCATCATCATCATCATCATCATCATCATCATCATCATCATCATCATCATCATCATCATCATCATCATCATCATCAGCATCATCATCATCATCATCATCATCGTCATCATCATCATAATCATCATCATCATCCTCATCATCATCACCCTCATCATCATCATCATCATCATCATCATCATTCTCAGTATCATCCTCATCGTAAGCATTAGCATCATCAGCATCATCAGCATCCTCATCATCATCATCATCACCCTGATCATCCTCATCATCCTCATCATATTCCTCATCAGAATCATCAGAATCAACCTCATCCTCCTCATCATCATGATCATCATGATCGGCATGATCATCATCATCACCATCACCATCACCATCGCCATCGCCATCACCATCAACATCATCATCATCATCATCATCATCATCATCATCATCATCAACATCATCGTTACCGCAACCTCTCCCACACCCAGTACAACGTCGTGTGGCCTCATATGAAGCTCAACCTAAGGTTCCAGGGGCGGAACTCGCATGCGGATCCTGCGCCCAGTGCAGCGTTTCGTGGCCCCACAGGGAGCTCCACCCCAGATCCCAGTGGCGGAATTCACATGCGGTCCCTGCGCCTAGTACAGCGTTTGAGGTCTACCGAAGGCCCCAGTGGCGGAACTTGCATGAAATTCCTGCGCCCAGTGCGGTCGGTGTTTCGTGGCCCCATAGGGAGCACACCTTTCACACGCTTCGTGGCCCCATAGCCCTGCAAGAAGCCTTACCGAAGGCACAAGGGATCAGATGCCGTGATTATTTCAATACCCTGTGGTCCCAGGTTGTCCCGACAGCTTCCCTGGGGCTGGTTTTTCGCCCTCGGTTGATTTCTGACGGTCCCGAGGGGCGATGCAAATTCGACGCCATCGTCGTTGTCGCCGCCGCCGCCGCCGCCGCTGCCGTCGTCGTCGTCGTCGTCGTCGTGGTCGTGGTCGTCGTCGTCGTCGTCGTCGTCGCCGTCGTTTCTGTCGCCGCCGTCATCGTCGTCGTCGTCGTTGTCGTCGCCGTCTGGGGTCGGGGGCTCTCGGTGTTTTGCAGGCGGGGGGGAACGGGAACGTCGGAGGCGCTTGGACCCAGGAAGGGGTCTGGGGACCGTGTTACAGCGGATATCCCTTTTCTCGCCCTCCACACCAGCCAGAATTCGCGGGATGAGGAAGGGGCGGACAAAACAGATCACGGACAGAGGGAGCCACGCCGAAGGCCCTATAGGGAGTTCCAACGAAGGCCCCAGAACGCACGCGTGCCGCCGCCATCCCACTTTGGCACACCCCTCACACGGTTCGTGCCCCCCATAAGGAGCTCCACCGAATACGATATTCAAACACGCGGTACTCAAAGCTGCGTATGGCTGGGCCCTTCGCCTGGCTAGTTGACTGAAACGGCGGGTTGCCCGCTGTTAGCAGGGCCAGCATCCCTGTCAAAAAAAATCCAGGCGAAGTACCCAACCATATGCAATTGTAAATGCCGTCGTTTCGGGTATCGCCGTCGGGGGATCTCCTCATGGGGCCATAGGGCATGCGAGAGATGCGCCGACGTGGGGCGGAGTCGCCGTGTGGGCGCTGCCACTGGTGCTTTAGGCGGAACGCAAAACGGAACCGCGAAAAGAGTAACGACTGCGCCGCGATGGAACGGGGCCGCCACTGGGGCCTTCAGTAGAGTTCTCCATGGGGTCACGAGGCGCTGTACTGGGCGGGGGACACGCATGCGAGTACAGCCCCTTATGGGGCCACGAAGCGCTGTGCTAGATGGGGGGAACGCATGCGAACACCGCCGCTGCTTGCGTCCGACAATTGCTGGCTCATGGCTCCTACGGCACAGTAGGCTCAACTGGACGTCGAATCTAGCCCAATATCGGAGCTGTGGTCCCTTGGTCCAGCAGGATTGCCACTACGACTTGGGTCCTCGAGTGAAAGCGCGACGCCCTGAGCACTGCCTCGTCGGCCCATAACTTGCGCGTATCGCTATGGTTTCAGGAAGGGTTTGAACCGAACTGGCAGCCGCCAACCGGCGGCCCCTGCAATCGAACCCCCCAAACCGGAGCAAAAACCAGACCGGCAGAGATTGAAACGGCCAATTCGAACCGAACTGGCCGATCGAAACCGGCCCGAAGGGCCATACCGAACCGGCGGAACCGGACCGGCCCGCCGAAGAGGCCAGGGCGGCCCAAGAGGGCCTCGAGACGGGCTCGGTAAAGTTCCAGCGGCCGACGGCTCCAGGAGGGCTCCAGGACTGACCAAGAGGGCCCCAGGAGGGGCCAAGAGGGCAGGCACCCAAAGGCTCCCCGGAGAGATCCGAGACGCACCCCGAAGGATCCGACGGATGCTACAACGGAGGGGTGCGTTGTAGCATCCGTTGCGGCCCTGTTAGGACCCCAGCGAAATGGCCCAAGAGAACTCCGCCAGGGCGCTCCCAAAGTGCCCCGATTGGCCCCCCCCCGGAAAGCTCGGAGGCGCCCCCCCGACGGAAGGCCTCGGCGAGCCGTTTTCGGGTCTCTGGACCTGACCTGGGGCCTGGACCTGAGGTCCAGACACGAGGTCTGGACATGAGGTCTGGACTTGGACGTCTGACCCCCGCGCCCCTTCAGAAAGCGAGTTCCGGGCTCTTAAGGCGGGCGGCCCGGCCCCCGGGCCCCCGAGACTCCTCGGCCCCAGGGCCCTGTCGGTCCGCGCGGTCCGACGACGACGGCGGCGGCCGCGCGGCGGCGGCCGACGGCGACGACGACGGCGGCGGCGAGGCAGCGAAGCATCTTGGCGCATGACTCCGTCGGGGAAGGCGCCGTCGGCGATCGAGCAGTCGGGGCACCGTCGTCGTCGCCGCCATCGATCCCCCTCCTCCTGCTCACGTTTTTGTCGGGGGCATTTCGATCCGCGGCCGCGGCGCGCAACGTCTGGAACGCACTGCGCGCCAACCTTTCGATTGCCCGAACTGGGCCACCCGAAACTGAACCGCCCCGAGGTAAAACCGACGCGGTTCAAACCGAACTGGCATCCAACCAAAACCGCCACAACCTAACTGGCCCGCTGCCGAACCGACCCGAACCGGCCCCATGCGGCGATTTGGCGCGTCTCCACGCGCGCGCCCCGCGCTCGAACTTGGACTCGACCGCGCGGCTGGTCGCGGCGCGGGCGCCCAGCTGTCGCATGGGCCCGATGCTGCCGCTTGTGGCGCCCCACTGCTGCCGGCACATGGCTGGCGGCGCGGGCGCAGTTTGCGCCGATGGCGGGCGGGCGCCGCCGTCTGGTGGGTAACGCATATGGAAGGGCGAGCCTTGACTTGCTTGGTGCGAGCCAGTGTCCTCGCACCTCCTGTCCGAGGGCTTTCTTGCAATGCTGACATCCCCGAAGAATCCCAGACATGTCGTGCCAGCGGCAAGTTTGGGGCCGCGCATGCGCCGCCGCGGGCCCGCCTGCTGACGCCCCAGGGGTCGCGGGGCCTGCGAGGTCACGCCGGCGCCACTAGGATAGACCCGCGCGTCTCCGCGCCTGGGGCCCAGCGCGCATCCACGCACTGCCTTGTCTCGCATGGGCCGAACAGCCTCGACGGGCGCCGATTGCGCGCGGCGGGCGTAGATCGCTGCTATGGCAATAGCCCCGTTGCAGACTCGCGCGCGGATGCGCGCGCGGCGCAATTTCACCTGGCCCCCAGCGCGTCCGCGACCACAACGTCGCGATACTGCGCGCTCTGCGGCGGCGACGCGCGGTCGCGCCAGCGCCGCCTGTTCATGGCGCGCGAGACGCGCCAGAAGCAAGCGACGCGCTCGCTGCCTGCGTGACTGAAGGCGAACCAACCCATAGCGGGCGGGGCGCCGATTGCGCCCTCCAGCGCCGCGCTGCCAAACCCCGACCTGCGTCGGGGTGAGCGGGCGCGCGCGAGGGCCAGCGGTTGCTGTGGTCCTTTCGCCGCCTCTGAATTTGCGCGCTTGGCCGGGTTGCCATCGCGGGCGCCAGTCTTTTGGAGACAATCTGGTTCGCGGCAATAACCGCCCGAGCTCCTGCGCGCGAAGCAACAGCCGCCCTGCGGGCCAAACCCAACAAGCCCGGGGCAACGAACGCGCCCTCCTCTCGGCCGCCACGTCATCGGCAAGCGCTGCCGCGCCCACGAACAGCGCCGCGCGCTCTGCCCGAGACCCCTGCCGACGCCCCTACGGGACGACCTCGACTTCCACGGAAAAGACCCCGGGCTCTTCTGCCGAAATCACACGCAGCAAGCTGGGCATCGCCG